TTTGTTAACATGATATTAAGTCAGATCCCAATACTGAGCCAAAGCCGCACAACGTATTGAGTATCCAAAAATATCCTATATCTGTTAAGAATGTAGAGCTCAACAAACATGCAAATAAACAAAACTGTGAAGCTGTAAACATCAAATTAAAAATTTTAAATGGGTACAACACACTTCAACAAATCCTCCAGCCTATGCAACCATATTCTGTGGGTTGCTGCCCCTGTCCTCTGATATGACCCATAACTATTTCATGCATTAGGATAAAGTGCAGTCACAATTTTTGATATGTTACACTTCCAGATCTGTAATACTAAGTGTGCTATGCAATTTTCCATAGGCCAGATGGTCACTAGACATCTGACAACCTTCACAATGGTCTCAGAGATGATAAAAGAAGCCAAAAAATGCACAATATGACAGTGTTCTTGGCTGTGAGCAGTGCTCCTCCTCAGAAATTCACTTTGTGTTGGAATGCATCCTGATGTTTTTGAAATGTTTCTTACTGCTGCATTAGCAACTTTTGCATTTGATGCACCATAAATTCAAGGACTAATATTGTGTTACATTGCTTTAAAATCCATCCACCCATCCACTTTCTATACCGCTTAGTCCCAAACGGGGTCAGGGGGCGCTGGAGCCAATCCCAGCCAGCTGCGGGCGAGAGGCGGGGTACACCCTGGACAGGTATTGCCTTAAAATATTCATGAAAAATGATTGCCAGGCCTGTGTTAATGCTGACACATAGGATACTACTAATTGGTGCTGACTTTTCATATGAGCCACTTATAGTTGCATTTGTAATTGTTTGTATTTTAAAGTGACAAACAAACAAACAAACAAATAAAAACCCCTACATGAACACATCAGATCAATAAAAAAGAAAGTTTTATGATTATCTTGTTTAATCATGAAATCACTGATCAGTATCTTTGATTACATGCTTCCCTCCAAATATACACTAATTAATGTACATTTTAGATCCACCAATGAAATATGCTAAAATTTTCAGTTTGTGTAGGTGGGTGGGGGCGGAACTCCAAAAAGGAACCTCACTTTGTGGGATTTTATCAGCACAGGTAATAATTAGTGTGGCACAAAGGGTTCAACGTAAATTGAGAATGCAAGCAGCCTAGCACCGGAAGTGGACAGGACTTTTCAAAATTTAAGGCAGGCCAGCTGTAAGGTAAGGCGCTGCAGTACTTGAAGGTTCAGGTTCATCCAGGCTATTACAGAAGGAAAAAGAAAAACAGCCATTTTTAAAACTGTAACTAATAAACCATTAGTTCCAGCGAAGCTAGCTAACTCCTTAGCGGACAGGTGCAGCTCGTTAACGCTCCTCCTCTAATCTCGCGTTGCTTCCACCTGTACTACTGTCACGGATTCACTGATTGTCGCGGGATTAGCATCATCTTCCCAGCAGCAGGACGGATCAGGTATTCATTGGGATTGTGGTAGGAACTTGGTGTTCCACGGACTGAACTGAGTTATTACAGTAGGATGGTTTGTTGAACTGTGTCAAATGGTCTTATGTATTTTTGTTCTGTTTTTCGGTTGCATAGATCATTAAGTTATTTGATACGTGTTGTGTTTAACGGAAAAGAGTGAGCATTTAATCCAGTATACAACCTCTTAAAATTCCAGTTTGTTTATATTTTTTTTTCCCTGGTCTGTGTTAGTTGGGGTGGGAAACCTGGGGTGCATGGTACATCCACCTAATTCATAGATAGTCAGCCTCCTCATCGAACCTAGTTAGGAAACACCCCCCCTTCTCAGCCTGTTAGCTACGCAGGGAGGGTTACACTTGCTTTACTTCTTGTATCCAGTGTTGTTGCTGTCCTTAGTGCTGAATCGTAACTGTAACAAAGTACAGTAGTGGTGTGTAGTGTAGGGGGTTTTCAACTAATTGTGAGCCAGTGACCACTATTCTGATTCAGATGAGGACCACTATTGTGGGGTTGATGGACTGTGGGGCACTATTTTAATCCTGAAAGTCACCTTGGCTTTTTTAATGTTATATATTTGCATAGGTTTGATTATTCACAAATAATGAGTAGTACATGGAAATGTAAAAAGAAAATGATTCCTGTAATGAAACTACATTATCAAATGCGTGGTCAAGGGCCACCTACAGTGCAGCCAGTGGGCCACAGACCACTGGTTGAAACCAGACACTAGTGTAGTGAATGCACAGGCAATGTGTATTTGTCTTTGTACTGTGTTGGTGTTCGTCAGTTCTGGTTTGGTCTGAATGCCTTTGAGCGCTTGGCGGCTTGGTCATTTCCTCTTGTTCATTAGCTTCCGAAGTTATCTACACTCTACACCTTGTTGCTCATACAGTTTGTGTTATGCATGTATCCCATGCGGAAACTTGAGTGGAAATCGGGTTGTAATAATTGTTCTTGCACCAACACTACACCATATATAGTGGAGCTACTGGCCTTGATGTATCTTGGATGGGCTTAAATGAAACCAGGGAGACTGGGCAGCTGTTCCAGTGCAGGCTAGCGATAACAAAGACAGATAGTAAGCCACGGCACCAGACTACTGTTTGGTGATCAGTAGATGTTAGAGATACTCTCCAAGAGAGAATTGGGGACTGACAGAAATCCTTTCAATCAACTGTGCAGTCAAGTGATAACGATTAACTCACTTTCTCTGGGATCATTTCATTTTATGATTGAAATGAACACAGTCTACAGTCCTGACAGTGTGACCTCCTTTGTTCACCTGAGAGTTGGCTAATATTCCTCTCAAACCACACTCAAAGGATCATATAAAACTGAATTGCACAGCTAACCTTTGTAAAGTGATTTACCTGGGTAGATAAATTTATCACATGGCATAGACAATTATAGGCCTATAAATTTTCCAGACACAAAGTCACCATTTCCGTACTAAACGCTGATACAGTTTTGCAAAAGCCTAGATAACATTTTCAGCAGCTAACCCTAAACAATGTTTTAACAATATCCATGCATTGCAGCTCCGGTACTGATAAGGAATGGGCAGTGGTAGACATTTAAATTGCCTTGTTAGAGTGACTGTGGTTAAAAATGATTATCATACATTTTTGGTCTGACTCGTTTGACGTCCACATTGTTACTTTTTTTCCCCTCACTAGATAAAAAACACTGTTGAACATCAGCTCTGGGCAGTTATTCATGATGTGGAATTAGGCACAGTGGGCATACTTCCAAAGAAAATGTTAACTAAATCACAGCTGCAAAGGCAGCTGCAACAATGATTCATTAAGTTTTCAAAACAGCCTCACAAATCAGTTTGCATGTTAAACACAGCACAGCTGCTTTGACAAAGAGGCTCAGAGGCCATACAGCAAGTAAACCCTTGCTAACATTAACTGAAAGGCACTTGATGGATGTTTGCATCACAGTAGTAAATCAACTCCTTGGAGAATTCATTTGAAACAAATAACCAATATAATCATTGTGCAGTTATCATAAGCACCTGTATCTCTAAATATTAATCAGCATATTAAATAGTAGCATATGATAGAAAGTCCATCTGCTCAGCTTATGTTTAGTTCTGAGAAAACATTTGTGGTCAACAATATTGATTTGCCAAACACTAAGGCAAAGGCTGCTACAGGTGGATGTAGTATTTACAGCAACATTACTGTTACTACACATGTATTTATTGGACATGTGATGGTACAAGATGCAAACAAAAACACTGCACTGTGGAGAGTATGATACTGTAGTTTGGGCTTTTAAACTCTCAGGTGATGATTATTGGATTCTACTCTTATCTTAGGAACATCAAACCAATGAAACTGTCTTCTTTACTGATCTGTTTTGAAACATTATTTCTGTTGCATCATGAAATGACTTTGTATTATGTCAAAGGATCTATGCGTGTGCTTCTTATCAGAGTGAAATGGCCAGAGAACTGAAAATATTGTCTGATTGCAAGCATTCAGAATTTCTCAAAGTGAATGTGGTGAAATTTGAATTATTGGAATAAAAAGAGAACTCAATTGCACTGAACAATGACGGAAGAGAAACTGACAAGGCAGGCTGCCAGTCTCACAGGTGGGTACATTACTGCATGCATGCCTTAAGCTACCAGTGACATATACCAAAGGAATCTCTGAGCAGCACTCTGGAGTCCCTGCAGTAGCACACCCATGTGTAGTACCTTTCATCTGAATAAGGTCTAGACCTAAAAACAAAGTATATGGTTTTTTTTGTTGTTTTTTTTTTATATTCCATGAAATTTGTTCAGAAATTTGGATCCCTGTCAGAGCCATAACTGTTTTGACAGTCAGTTAAAATGACCAAATCAGTGACCAAATGGTGCAGAAAACTCGCATGTTTAGAGATGTTGTCATTGGCCTTGACTCAGCCTTAAATGGCTTAAATGAAACCAGGGGGAACAAGCAGTTGGTTCAGTGCAGGCTAGTGATAACAAAAACAAAGAGCAACCCATGGTGCTAATGCAGTCACAGGCTATTGTCCTGTGATCAGCGGGCATTTGCGATACTCTCTAGGACAGATGTGGGAACTCACAAAAATCCTTTCTATCAACTGTGCAATCAAGTGGTGAGGATTAAATCGCTTTCTCTGGGACATTATCACTCTGTGACTTTTTCATCCATCTGATGCTCATTTGAATGTTTGTTGGTGGTTTTGTGAGCACACAAATGCGCTTGTAGCCTCTAAAGCAGGTTTTATGACTGTCTGGGAAAGAATGCAAGGCATGCAGTATGAAAGCTTAATTTTCTCACAGCCAACTGGTTCCAACACAATATGATTGCTCTGAAGTAATATGCTTACAAGCACAGCCTGAATTTTATGGTCAGACTTTTCAGTGTTAAAAAGGGAATTTCTTTCTTTATGTAATGCTATAGAGGGGAAAAAAAGGATAAAAAAAAAAAAATATATATTCTGAAGAAATATTGCAATTTATAAATGAAACCATGATAATCAACACAACTCATTGTTTCGAGATCACTTAAATTTAGTTTGCATGTTCTAAATCAATATTATTTTTATATTTTATTATATTTTTATCTTTCTACATGACCCCAGCAAAAACTGAACTGCGCTTTCATTCATTCTAATATAAATCTAATCAAGTGATTGTTACAGTAGGAATTTGTTCTGCTTGGTTGTTGAAAATGCATTGGTCAAGAAAGTTTTAACTTTCTGCAAAGCATTTTGACGCTGGGCCAGTAAGAGAGCAGCACTTACGGTTAATATTGCAATGACCACAGCCTTTCTTGTAGACAGGTATGCGAATATAAATGACTGTGATTGCTGGTTGGGACCCTTGACAGTTTGATTGTACCGCACTGCTTCCTTTTCCTCCTGGCTCAGAGTCATGGGGCGGAGTTCAGCCAGTACTTCGAGAGCCGCCCGCTGTCCAGCTTGTATGGCGCCGCTCATATATCCACACCACTCGGTGGCTGTCTCTGTTCCAGCCCAGTGGATTCTGTAAATTATGAAAATCTGTGAGCCATGTTCTAAACACTTAGCTTTTTAAAAAAAAATGTATTTATTCTCCGTTCGCGTAATTACATCCCTTTTAGCGCATTTATACAGTGTCTTAAGCCATTACCACTCATTGGCATTATCACTTCAACAGAGTAGGCATCATACTACAGCTGTCCTCTCTGATGAGCTGATACAGTGTTAAGTTTTGCTCTTTAACAAGTCTCTGTTGGATTAGATGCTCCCAGTCTCTGTGCACTGAAATTTGCAAGTACATGCTCAGCAAATAAGTTTGATCCTGTTTAACCCTGTAGGGGTTTCTCACTGGAAAAGCACAATAATGATGTCTTTTAAACCTCAGGGCTCTTCACTTAGTTGGGGCACTGGTGCCCATAAATGAAAATGAATAGCAGCACATCTGGTTTTTTTTTTTTTTTAAATACTCTAATATTAATAAACATTTTCCATAAAAAATGTAACATTAAAAATACTGCTTTCATATTGCACACAGGCAAAGTAACTTAAATGGGAGATGCTAAAGAATTTTGAAACATGGGACATCACAAAAGACTGGTGTGCACTATGCATTTTGAAAACAGGGTTGGAGTTTGATAACATTTAATCCAGTATCAAATTATTCATTGAATTAACTTAAGTTGAGATGACTCGTATTTTAAATGATACAAGTGACTATCACCTGCTAAAATTGAAATGCTGCTAACTGGATGTTGTGTACACTGACTTATTAAATAGTTTTTAAAAATTCAATTTTATATATAGTACTTTTGACTTGGAATGGCTCAGCAGAACACATCTGGAGACGCCATCACATATAGACTTTGGTCACTGATCATAGTTTGCTTTGGAGGGAGACAGATGTGAGAGAATTGGGATGGCCACAATTGGGTTTTGCAGTCTGCTCCACTGGGCTGATCATCAAAATCACCCCTCTCTCTCTCTCTTTTGCTCACTCACTCACTCACTGACTGAACAGTTCGGCTACATACAATTATCCTTGTTCATAACAAGTTGCTATGTTTATCATATAGGCTACCAATAGTGGATGACAGAGTTGAAACTGGCAAAATCAATTTTGATTTTTATCACTTTTCTGCATATTTATGCTTGTACCTTTTATAGTAATGAGTATATCTTGCCAACTCGAGAAATATGTTTCACTAACCCAGTGTCCTGTGGCTCTTTCAGACTCTACACAACCATGAACGCTTCCAGCTATACAAGGAGGGTTTTGTGTGTACTTGTGCAACAAAATGTTTTGTCCAAAATTTGGAAATGTGACACAAGCACAAGTGTTTCATGCATTTCTGTTAGGGGTGCTAATGCAAATACTGTACCAACACTCTACTCTGAAATCTCAAAACTGGGCTGTGTTGAAATCGTTCGTGTTCATCAAATGCAGGCGGCAGGAGGTCAAATCTGTAAACTATTGCGTATAAGACTATACATACCTTGTGCAAATTAATTAAAACAAACTGAAATTTCTCATCTTTTCATCGATAGTCGTGAATTTATGCAGGAAAAAGTTATAAATTTACATTTTTTTTTTGTTCCTTTTTCCCAAGGAGATGTTCTATCCATCCATCCATTTTCCTCCGCTTATCCGAAACCGGGTCGCGGGGGCAACAGTCTAAGCAAAGATGCCCAGACTTCCCTCTCTCCAGACACTTCCTCCAGCTCCTCCGGGGGAATGCCAAG